GCCAACAAGATGGCCAGAGCTTCAGCAGGGACTGGCTCGCCCCCACGCATCAACCTCTGCCCCGCTGCTTTGATGGTGTGGTTGGAGCTAAACTTTGCAGGACAGTCGATCGCCAGGAGCAGGGTTGGGCACCCCTGCTTTAGAGGAATGCAAAGCATCATTACATAACCAGCGGGTTGGCACGATACCAAACTGTTAGCAAGCCATACCAGCATCAGTGAAATTTTGTGATACTCGATATCCCAGAAAAACAACAACAACATTATGCTATTTAAAGTGAAATAGTAATATAAATATTAACAAATTAACTTTGGCATGTACACTACCGTTCAAAAGTTTGGGGTCAGTTTTAAATGTTTTTTGGAATGTCTCCTATGTTCATCAAGGCTGCATTTATTTGATCAAAAATGCAGTAAAAACGGCAATATTTTGAAATATTATTACAATTTAAAAGAACTGTTTTCTATTTGAATATATTTTCAAATCTAAATTATTCCTGCGATATTAAAGCAGAATTTTCAGCATCATTACTCCAGTCTTCAGTGTCACATGATCCTTCAGAAATCATTCTAATATGCTGATTTTATTATCAATTTTTGTGCTATTTAATATTTTGGTGGAAACCACGATACATTTTCCAGGATTCTTTAAATTGACATTTCTAGCACATAACAGTATTTATTTGAAATATAAATATTTTATAACATTACAAATGTTTTACTGCCACTTAAATGCATCCTTTCCAAAAACACTTCTTGCTGACCCCAAACTTTTAAAGTGTAGTCTAGTTTTTAAATATTTTTTAACAAAGACAATATTGTGTAGTAAAGTTTTTTCCAAATAATTACTCAGTTATGTATAGTCAGTAAAAAAGGGGGGGGGGGGGCATTTTTATATTTTGTCAATAATAATCATTTATTAATATTATTAACAACAGCAAGTCTATGGGATGTGTACATATTTTTTTACATCTGTCACATATTGCCACAAAACACAGTTAAGCTACAAGAACTTCCATTCACACATACCATTGGTATGAGATATTTGTAGATGACGATTTATTAGGGTTATTTGTGCCATGCTCACATCTGTTCTTTGTTTCTTCAGGGGTGGATGTTTATATCAGGGACTTTGACGGAAAATGCTTTCATATTCGGGAGGTGCCCGGGGTGAAAGTATGCCACGTTGCTAGAGGAATCAGCGATCAGGTAAACAGTGTGTGTGTATGTATAGTGTGGTTATGCAGAGCACATTGTTTTATTTGCATTACTCTTTGTGCTTGCTAGAGGATAATATCTTCTCTCTCGGGTAGATCTCGGAGAACGTGTTCAGCCTGCAAACAGAGGATGGTTGCTTGGTGCCCCATGACAAAGAGGTCCTAGAGAACAGCCTGTTTTTGCGTTGTGTCCCGGCCCCCGACTCCAGCCACTATCATCAGTACGGACACAGCCCCTGCTGCACGCCTGGCCCCAACTGCAAACTACCATGGAGCTGGAGGATCAGAGAGGGGGTGCTGGAGACTAAAGACTGATCTCTCCATCCCCAATCAGTTTCTGTTAAGCACTCTGTTCCAATCAAAGTACTTTTGCATTGAATTTTTAATCGTGAATCTCATCTGTGCTTTTCACCTGTCAAACTTTTGAGCCATTGCCATAGTATTGGTTTACATTCTTAGTATTTTCAAGTTGTTTTAACTGACTGTGCAGATCTTTTGTTGTGCTGTGTTGTGAAGAACATTGTGGGCCTTCATGGAGTAATTTCATGATTAATGGCAAGATTTTAAAGCCTTTAGCCGATCAAGTATTTGCCTTAAACCCTGAGCACTTATGAATTAGTTTTCAGTGTCAGTATGGTTTACCTGTGGGACATAAAGATGCACATCAAAGTAAAGAATCATTGATCTCCTTTCTAAGAATGTTTTAACTGTGTTTTAAAGAATCCTTCAATCAATGTTTTTTTTTTATGATAACATTACATGGAAGATCTTATTGCCTTAATGATTTGAATGCCAATCAAACATTTTGGAAGTAAAACTACAAAACAGACACATTACATCAGTGCAATTTTAGTATTATTGATAGCATTATGCTAAAATATTTCTATTTAGCTTTATTTTTTATTTAAGTTTTAGTGTTAGAAATGTTAATATTTCAATTTAAACCACTAGTCTATAATTTATATAGATCAGTGGCATAACCTTATGTCAGTTAGTGGTCAAGGCAACATTTCTAGTTTTTGTACGTTTTTCATCTAATGTTTACTTGTTTTATTTCAGCTTTATTTTAATGAACAAAAAATGTATAGTTTTAGTTAATGACTGCATTACGTACAATCAGAAGTTTGAACACAAGCTGATTTTTTTCATGATTTTGAAGACGTTTTTATCTAAAAGCTGATGCTTAAATGCTTCCAATTCGTTTTTCAGACAAATACTTTTTATTTAGTAAATAGTATATCGTTTTTAACATTCACTGCATAATTCCTGTATGTTCATTTCTTAGTTTTGATCCTTTACTATTATTTTAAAATTATTTAAAAAATTTAATAAAGAGTAACTGTTTCTCTACCAAAATACACACCACACATTTATATTGAAATCCAGAAAAACTATTTATTGTTTCATTTGACATCTTACAAAACAAACTCATGGGCTCACACAGCAGACAGACTGCCTTAGGGTGCACAATTTTATACCAGTTTTCAAAGATGTAGAAAAAGTGGTGGCTAGTATCATAAAAAGCCCAAGGCACTGTCAACGAAAGAATCAAAAATAGAAAAGTATGAAATTGTACCCAAACAACCAAAAGACAAAGAAACAGGTGTATAAAAAAAGAACAATTGCATGTAAATGTAGGATAGTGGGTCTGGCTAACCATCGTAAAAATACAGTACTGAGAAAACTTTGCTGAGCTCAACTAATCGGCCTAGAAGTCCTGCAAGACCGCATGTTTGCACCAGCTGAAGCCAAACTAACTGCTTTTCGTCAAAGTCCCCACATGTGGAACGAATCTGCACATGCATCTGAAGTCTTTGGATTGTCAGGCAGGTCCTCCGCTATTCTAAAAAGGAAAATATTTGGTTCTGTAAGAAAACAAGATCATCGTGGCTCCGAGAAGTTTAATGCATGTATTGTCCATTCCTGTCATAGGAGGGCCTCGCTGACTAAGACAAGCCCACATACCGCACAACCAGAGTGCTGATTGATTGGCTGCACAAACATTTCATGAACTCTTAAGAGGCTAAACTTGTACTTTCAAGTACAATCAACTTCATAGACATTTCGCAGCCCCTATTCTGAACTATAGGAGACACTCAGCAAAGAAAGGCGAGGAGGAATTTGGAAGAGGAGAAATTCTGAGCCCATTCCTACTCTTTCAGATGACAGTGGACTCAAAAAAAAAAAAAAAGATAATAATAATAATTTTATTATAATAATAAAAATAATATATAGTAATTCCATTTATAAGCTAACTGTTGACCAAATGTAATTTTGACTGTCATTACGCACAATTTAGGACAAAAAAAATCTAAATATGAGAATATCAGACTCCTAACTTAGAAATTTCTGCATTGAGACAATGTCTATAAATTAAATCAAATACCAATCCAGTCTTTTATATAACGTAGACACTCATAAGCCCAAACTAAAAATAAATAGCTAAAATCAAGCCTAAACCTGAACTCTTACACATTAATCTCTGATTTTCAGTGCAAATGTTATCAAGGTTTAAAGT